ATAAAGAAATAAGAACTTTAAACTACGTTTTTACCCTTATTTATTCATTGCAAAAATTAAGTTATTGACTACATGACCCTAAATGACTAATGCATAACGATATTATCAAAAAAAGCGATAAAGTAGAGAAAAGAGTATGAAGGAACCTTCAAAGCAAACTTTTATAATATGTTCTTGAAAAAGGGTGTTTTTTTGGCAAACCCCACGCTCTACAATGATGATCGCTCTTTCTTGCAGCACTCTAGAAAGCTTTTCTAAAAACTCTGGAAATGCTTCAGAGGGGTCCTAAGAGAGTAATTTGAGAGTAGTACAGTAGGGAAAGTTGTAGAAGTGTGTGAAAAGAGTGAGAAAGTCCCCCCCCCCCCCTTTTATAGGAATTCACACTTGTCAGGTTGGGACCGCCGTCTCGCCTGACAAGGTCGGGACCGTCGTCTTGCCAAATGAGATGACGGTCTCGCCTTTGGTAAGTGGCGAGACGACCGTCTCACCAAACGAGACGGTGGTCTCGCCATTGGCAATTGGCGAGACGGCGGTCTCGCCATTGATAAGTGGCGAGATGACGGTCTCACCAAACGAGACGGCGGTCTTGACCCTCTAGGTAGAATTTCTTATTTTTTTCTATACAAAAATTCTTCTTATTCTAACATGGGGCCTATTGATCAATTCTGTGGACCTTTTAGGCCTTGCCCATCTTCGAACGAAAGTCTTCTGCTCTTTATTTTGAGGCCGAACAAGATTTGAGGTTTACAAAGGCCCTATAATCCACACACATACGCCACGTACCATCCTTCTTTTTAAGTAAGAGCACCGGGGAAGAGAACGGGCTGTTATTGGGTTGAATCCAACCTGATTCCAACATTTTGGATACTTGTCGTTCAATTTCTAGCTTCTGCACATGGGGGTACCGATAAAGACGAACGTTAACTGGACTAGAATGGGGGAGGAAAGGTATGGCATGGTCGGTGGAGCGCACCAGAGGCAAGGAAAATGGTTATGTGAAGATGAACGAATACGCTGTGAGCAGAGTCTGAACTTTCTGATCAGGATGAGAAGGAGGAGAATGGGAAGAGGGAGAAGGGCATACTGTAAGTGAAAAGAATTGGGTTGTGGGATTTGTTCGATCAACCTTCTTAAGTTGGTGGAGAGAAATAGAAGTAGGTTGTGGGCCAGAGTCTCCCTTAAGTTCAATGATGACTTGATTGAAAACAAATTTCATGGTAAGAGCTTGATAATCCATGAGAATGGGCACTAATTGCTTTAACCATTGGGCCCCGAGTACCACAGAGCCTCCCATATCCAAAACATAGAGGTCCACAGTAAAAACATGCCCCTGAATTGTAAGATCCACCCCATGACAAATGTTGACACAGGTCAACTCCTCACCACTACCAACCAACACTTTCAACGGTGTAGTGGGGGAAAAGGCCAGGCCCAATGAATGAGCGATGCGCTGTTAAAGGAAATTGTGAGTGCTCCCTCCATCCACCAACACTCGCAGTTGTTGATGGGCTATATGGTCTGTTAAACGTAACGTTTCAGGAGCCCCAGTCCCAGACAAAGCATGAATTCTAATTTGGGCCGGATAGTTCACATGATTTGAAGGAGGATCGGGCAAACTCGGATCTGGATCTAGTTGGGGTAAATCTGGAGCTAACAGATCCATCGGATCGCCATCGTCAGCGATGAGAAGTAAAAATCGAGCAAAACAACGGTGAGTGCGTGAATACTTCTGATCGCAGTTGAAGCAAAGACCCTTTTCACGGCGGTCAGCCATCTCGGCCTCTGTGAGCTGCCGGTAGCGAATTTTAAGCGGAGGAGTTGGTAAAAGAGGGGGAAGGGCCTTTGCTGCGGTGGTGGAGAAGTGAGAGTGTGTGTAGTCGGAGGAGAGGGCCAAGGAATGGAGGTCCGGGATAGTTGCAAACGAGTAAGGTCCAAGTACTTCTCCTCGTGCAAACGAGCTAACCCCACTGCATGAGACAAAGTCGGAAGCTGCTGGGACACCACCTCACGACGGATCTCCGACTTAAGACCCGAAATGAAGCAACTCAGAAGAAGGGGCAGTGATAGCCCAATGACACGGTTAGCAAGAGCTTTAAACTCATCCAAAAAGGCAGAAACAATGGTGGTCTGAGTGAGTTTGAAAAGCTTACCACGAGGATCCTCGAAGGCAGTGGGAGCGAATCTGGTCTCCAAAGCTTGTAACAGATGAGGCCAAGAATGGATCTGACCATTGCGGTACATCCACTAAAACCAAGCCAACGTCGCACCGTCAAGGTAGAAGGATGCCACGGTGATGCGTTCTTCCTCCGGAGTGTTGTGGCAATAAAAAAATTGTGTAATCTTAGAAATCCACCCAAGTGGGTCATGGCCGTCGAAGCGAGGGACATCAAGTTTGAGGAAATGGTGGTGAGAAGGATGATCGAGGAATGGAGGAGGGTTAAAAGGGGGAGGAGAGTCAGGTGTGTGTTTTAGGAGGGATAAATGTGTATTCATATCAGTTTATTGGGTGGAGAATATTGACATTTGGTTGAGCATCTCATCAATTTTGTCAGAAAATTGTTTGAGACGTGTGCCGTCAGCCATGGTGAAATGCTCAACGAGAGTACCAATGATAGTAAAAGAAAAATGATTGCGTCAGGCTGCCTCCTAAGAAGGGAATAAGAGAGGAATGAGAATACATTTTTTCATATCTTCTCTAATAACATAGTACGACATATAAATGTCATAGCTTCTAGAAAGATTCCTAGGCAACGTGGCTCACAATCTTACAATCCCATAACTAATTTCTTCTAGAATAAAATAGGGTAAAGAAGGTAATTAATAACATATGTTTAATAATGAATAAAATCAGTCCATTCACCAGGTTTATTATTGATTCTCTTAGGTCTCACGTGATAAGCAATTGGGTCTTCTATGGCAAATTGATTCAAGCCTTTCAAGAAGTTGCTTGCACTTGAACAGAAGAAGTAACATATCAAGGTTTACATTTGGTGTTCCTAAATCAGACAAAAAGGAGCGTTATCAACAATATGAATTAAAAAACCAATGCATGCCCTTGAAATGTGTTAGACCTAGACTATCTAGAGTCAAACTTGTTCAATTTCTACAGTGGCGGATCTTCTTGGAAGCTGAAGGGGGCTGTAAGCCCCCAAAGTTTTGTAATTTCTATGTAATTTATGATTTTGACCCCCCAAACTTAATGAACATTTAATATATTTACTTGTATATTTACAATTTTATCCTCTCATCGTTTTGTAACTCTCATATAATTTATGATTTTGTCCCTCAAATTTAATGATTATTTAATATATTTAAGTATATATCTACAATTTTATCCTTTCATCATTTTATCTTCTTTCTTCCTTTTATATTTATTTATTATTTATTAATAATATATTATTTGATTCTCCAAAATAAATGGTCAAGATCCGCCACTAATTTTCACAGTAAAATAAGTGCTTAGTTATAAAATAAAGAATCACCATCGAACTTGTTACAAAAAAAAACAACAGCAAATAAAATCATCATAAGTTTTTGTCGGGGACTAACGTGTCTGGTAATGAAAACATTGGAGGAAGAAATTTGATCTCTCATGAGCGAATGCCACTCTCAGCGCGCGTGTGCTTAAGGTGAGAGTGAGTAGTGAGTGAATGCTCTCGCGTGAAAATGGCAAGTGTTTTTTGAGACAAAAAATGTGGCCCTTTCCAGTAATATAATGTGGGCTTTTTTAATAAAAAAAATATTGGGAATTGTTATTTGTACGACCCCATTTTACTACTACACTTGCTTTTCAATTATTATTTCCTCAAACACCTTATAAATTAGATTGGTTCCAATATTGAAATATTTTCTTCCATACGAGACTTCTAAATTTTTCTTATCTTTTCTCTTTTCTGGGTTGCATTTCCATGCTTGGAAAGATTGTGGAAGCATTTCCAATTTTCTCAACTCAAAACCACCATAACCATGAAAGACAAGGACAGAAAGATTAAAATAGTTCAGAGTTTGAAAGGAAGTGTATATAATAAAAAGTTTATACTTATTGAAATAGATTTCTTTCAAACTTTAGTATAATCAAGTTCATAGATGATTTGTATGAGTAAACACGTCCATGTGAAAGAGTCTTTAATATGTGGTTCTTTTCTTTCCCGAAGCCATAATCGGGCAAGAAAGTTGATTTAAGAGAATAATAATTTACAGGAAATTGCTTAAAGGAAAGCTAAATACTTGCTGACAAAATCATTTTTTTTATTGTAGCGTGAGATAACTATAGTTAAAGTTTGTATTCTTTTTTACGTCTAATAAAGAAATTTCTCTAAATTTTTTATAAAAGAATAAGATAAAAAAGATTGAAGTTAGTTTATATACAAATTTAAAAAAAAAAGAGACAAATTATATTGTATATGAATATTTTTTTTAAAAGTGATTATAAAAAAAAATTGTCTTTTTATTTGTGTAGATATCTTAAAACAAAAATAAGCGTAATACCCTCCAATATTAAAATTTATAATTTTTTTTATATATTAAATGTAATTGTAAAATGATATTTTTAAAGAAATCACAATGATTACAAATTTGAAATTTATCATATATTTTTTAACTACTATTATATATAGTTTTTTTTTTGTCTTTTTTCTTATATTTTCTTTTTTAAAACTAACATATGCCAATATATAATTCAACAATATAAGATATAAATTAAACTTAATAATTAAATATACTAGAGAGTTTGCAAGAACTGATACGTGTCTTTGTTTCTGAATGCATGCATATGTCCCCTATGATCAACGACAGCTAAGAACTCGAACACAGAAATCTGTAGCAAAACGTGAAGAGTGATAACAGACTTGAAAGTGTATCTCGATTCTCGTAAAATCAAATTTTTTATCATCACAAATATTGTTGAAGAAAGACATGAATGCCTATAAATTGGTACATGCAAGAGCAAGAGAATCTATCACAATACAAAACTCATAACAACACATGTGCAAAATCAAAGAATGGCTTGTGTTAGGCTTGCTCCTTTGGCTCTCTTCTTGCTCGCCACTTCCAGTATGTAGCATTCCATTCTTCTTCTTATTCTTTCATCATTTCCATTTATTCATGCAGGAGAACTTAGAACATTATTATAATATACAATATGTTGTCTCTCTAAGTTCATTTTCTGACTTTGAAATATCGTTCTTAGTAATGTTTCCGATGAAGAAGATAGAAGCAGCAGATTGTTCAGGTGCTTGTTCACCGTTTGAGGTGCCACCATGTGGCTCCCGTGATTGTCGCTGTGTTCCTATTGGATTATTTGTTGGTTTCTGCATTTATCCTACAGGACTTTCATCTATTGCCAAGGTTATGGAAGAACATCCCAACTTACGTAAATCTCATGATGATTGCACGAAGAAAGGAAGTGGTAACTTCTGTGCTCGTTATCCCAATCCGTACATGGATTATGGGTGGTGCTTTCAATCTAATTCTGAAGCACTAAAAGGGTTTTTGGCCATGCCTAGGGCAATCTCTAAGTAATATGGATGTGCTAGTGTTTATGAATGATGCATCTACTACTACCTAAATAAAAGCTTATGGTGCATCTACTGCTTTAAATAAAATTGAGTGTTGCAGTAGTAGCTTGTATCACTACAAGAAAAAACACATTTAGTCACCGAATTAGCGACCGATTTAATTTTGGTCGCAATTAGTGACCGATTTAGTGACCACTTTAATTCGGTCGCAATTAGCGACCAATTTAGCGACCAAAATATGATTTGGTTTTCACTTTTTTATTTAGCGACCGAAATAGCGACCAATATTTTGTGTCGCAAAATTTCGATCGCTAAATCGGTGGCTATTTCATACTAAAATAAAAAAATCATTTAGCGATCGATTTAGCGACCGAATTACAAATTGAAATAGTGACCGAATTAAAATCGATCGCTAATGAGAAAATAACTACTGAATTGAAATCGATCGCTAATGAATATTATTATTTTATTATATTTAAATTTATTTTTTTATAAATATACTTTAATTGTTTTAGTATATTTTTTACAATTTATTTTTTAAAAGTAATTTATTTTTTAAAAAGAATTTAATTTTTAAAATATACTTTAAAAATAAACTTTGGTCTCAATATTAACAAAATGAATTGTAATAAATCAAATTTATTAAAAATTTAAATTGTAATAAATTAATACTAGAGTGATGTTAACTATTCAATACATTGTTTAAGAAAAGTTTAATAACAAATATTCTTGAATTTATTTTTCAATTAAAAATTTCAATTGAAATTAAATTAAATTATATTTTAAAAATTTATATTAAAAAAATTAAACACATCAAATTATCACATTTTAATTCCTCATTAACTTAATTAATTAAAAAAATACAATTTTAATCAAATTATTACAATTTTATTTTATAATACTTTATTTTTAATCTAATTTTTAAATTTATTGCTTTATTATTATTAATTACTTAATAATGGTTGTTGTCATATAATTGATATACCAAAAAATTTTTTATATAAATATACATTAGATAATAAATATATTATTTAATTAAACTATTGCTAACCATATTTGTATATTGTAACCCAACAAGTGGAAAAACACTTTCAACACCACTTTCATAACAAACTATTTACAAACTAAACAGCTAACGAACCAATTATTCAGCAATAAATTCATGAAAATTGTAGACTAAGATGAACACAGGCAGAAAGATACTGGTCTGTATTTCGCAGGTCAACATTCGCTCAAGCGAAAATAACGTCGCTCGAACGACGCCACCTGCACAAAATTGGCATTCTCGGGTTGTATTTCGCTTGAGCGACACTGGTCTCGCTCAAGCGATATCTGATACAAAAATGTGTCAATAAATAAATAAAATATTTGTCACTTTTAAGAGCGGTTAATATTTTTACCGCTCTTAAAAGTCAACATATAATAGCGGTTCCAAGTGAACCGCTATCTAAAATATAGTTAGATAGCGAGTTAAGGTTTAACCGCTATTAGATGTTCACTTTTAAGAGCGGTTCCAGTGGAACCGCTATCATATACAACCACATTTTTTTATTATAATCGATTACATTTTCAAATAACCGATCATATTGGATAATTTTTTCAAATAATTAATTATAATCGATTAGTTTTCTAAATAATTGATTAGAATTGATTAGTTTTTCAAATAATAGATTATAATTGATTAATTTCTCAAATATATATTAAAAAATTATAAATAAAAATATAAATTATTTAAGAATATTAATTATTGTAAACATAAAGTAGAACACGGGAGGAGATGAGGATGATAATATAATGATGGAATTGACAAAAATGCGAATTGAGAAGTTAAAAAAAAAATTTTAAGAAAATAGAGATTTAATTATACTTTTAATAAATTTAAGATAATACTAGTTTTGATTTTTATTTTTAAATATTTATTTTAATTTTTTAAAACAGAGAAACTATAATTTTAGTTTCTAAATACTAAATTTAAAGAATTAAATTTATTATTATTATTTAATCTTTTAATTTTAGTATTAAAAATTTAAATTATATTTTATTAAATTAAAATAATTACAATATATTTTTCTACTTTGAGAATGAAAAATATAATTAAATTAAAACTAAAAATATTATAATACATTTTTGAACTCTTTTTGATTAATTTTTTTCCTAATTTTTTATAAAGTCAATTTTAATATTTAAAAGTATTTAACATTTTGCTTTCTGAAATGTTTTCTGTATTACCAAATTTAAAAACATAATATTCAAAAAAATAGTTAATATAAACTATATTTTAGATAGCGGTTCCACGTTAACCGCTATCTAAACCAGTATGTTAGATAGCGGTTAATGTTTAACCGCTATTAGATGTTCACTTGTAAGAGCGGTTCAAGTGGAACCACTATTATATACAACCATTATGATCGATTACATTTTCAAATAACCGATCATATTGAATAATTTTTTCAAATAATTAATTATAATCGATTAGTTTTCTAAATAATAGATTAGAATTGATTAGTTTTTCAAATAATAGATTATAATTGATTATTTTCTCAAATATATATTAAAAATTTATAAATAAAAATATAAATTATTTAATAATATTAACTATTGTAAAGATAAAGTAGAACATGAGAGGAGATGAGGATGATAATATAATGATAGAATTTACAAAAAAAATTAAGAAAATAGAGATTTAATTATACTTTTAATATATTTAACATAATAATAGTTTTGATTTTTATTTTTAAATATTTATTTTAATTTTTTAAAACAGAGAAACTATAATTTTAGTTTATAAATACTAAATTTAAAGAATTAAATTTATTATTATGAAATCTTTTAATTTTAGTATTAAAAATTTAAATTATATTTTATTAAATTAAAATAATTACAATATATTTTTCTACTTTGAGAATGAAAAATATAATTAAATTAAAACTGAAAATATTATAATACATTTTTTAACTCTTTTTGATTAATTTTTTTTCCTAATTTTTTATAAAGTCAATTTTAATATTTAAAAGTATTTAACATTTTGCTTTCTGAAATGTTTTCTCGTATTACCAAATTTAAAAACATAATATTCAAAAAAATAGTTAATATAAACTATATTTTAGATAGCGGTTCCACGTTAACCGCTATCTAAACTGCATGTTAGATAGCGGTTAAGGTTTAACCGCTATTAGATGTTCACTTGTAAGAGCGGTTCCAGTGGAGCCGCTATCATATACAACCATTATGATCGATTACATTTTCAAATAACCGATCATATTGGATAATTTTTTCAAATAATTAATTATAATCGATTAGTTTTCTAAATAATTGATTAGTTTTTCAAATAATAGATTATAAGTGATTAATTTCTCAAATATATATTAAAAAATATTAAATAAAAATATAAATTATTTAAGAATATTAATTATTGTAAACATAAAGTAGAACATGGGAGGAGATGAGGATGATAATATAATGATGGAATTGACAAAAATGCAGAATTGAGAAGTTAAAAAAATAAAAATGGAAGAAAATAGAGATTTAATTATACTTTTAATGAATTTAACATAATAATAGTTTTTATTTTTATTTTTAAATATTTATTTTAATTTTTTAAAACGAGAGAAACTATAATTTTAGTTTCTAAATACTAAATTTAAAGAATTAAATTTATTATTATTTAATCTTTTAATTTTAGTATTAAAAATTTAAATTATATTTTATTAAATTAAAATAATTACAATATATTTTTCTACTTTGAGAATGAAAAATATAATTAAATTAAAACTGAAAATATTATAATACATTTTTGAACTCTTTTTGATTAATTTTTTTTCCTAATTTTTTATAAAGTCAATTTTAATATTTAAAAGTATTTAACATTTTGCTTTCTGAAATGTTTTCTGTATTACCAAATTTAAAAACATAATATTCAAAAAAATAGTTAATATAAACTATATTTTAGATAGCGGTTCCACGTTAACCGCTATTTAAACTGCATGTTAGATAGTGGTTAAGGTTTAACAGCTATTAGATGTTCACTTGTAAGAGCGGTTCAAGTGGAGCGCTATCATATACAACGATTATGATCGATTACATTTTCAAATAACCGATCATATTGGATAATTTTTTCAAATAATTAATTATAATCGATTAGTTTTCTAAATAATTGATTAGTTTTTCAAATAATAGATTATAATTGATTAATTTCTCAAATATATATTAAAAAATTATAAATAAAAATATAAATTATTTAAGAATATTAATTATTGTAAACATAAAGTAGAACATGGGAGGAGATGAGGATGATAATATAATGATGGAATTGACAAAAATGCGAAATTGAGAAGTTAAAAAAATAAAAATTGAAGAAAATAGAGATTTAATTATACTTTTAATAAATTTAACATAATAATAGTTTTGATTTTTATTTTTAAATATTTATTTTAATTTTTTAAAACAGAGAAACTATAATTTTAGTTTCTAAATACTAAATTTAAAGAATTAAATTTATTATTATTTAATCTTTTAATTTTAGTATTAAAAATTTAAATTATATTTTATTAAATTAAAATAATTACAATATAGTTTTCTACTTTGAGAATGAAAAATATAATTAAATTAAAATTGAAAATATTATAATACATTTTTGAACTCTTTTTGATTAATTTTTTTTCCTAATTTTTTATAAAGTCAATTTTAATATTTAAAAGTATTTAACATTTTACTTTCTGAAATGTTTTCTGTATTACCAAATTTAAAAACGTAATATTCAAAAAAATAGTTAATATAAACTATATTTTAGATAGCGGTTCCACGTTAACCGCTATCTAAATCGTATTTTAGATAGCGGTTAAGGTTTAACCGCTATTAGATGTTCACTTGTAAGAGCGGTTCCAGTGGAACCACTATTATATACAACCATTATGATCGATTACATTTTCAAATAACCGATCATATTGGATAATTTTTTCAAATAATTAATTATAATCGATTAGTTTTCTAAATAATTGATTAGAA